ATTCATCGTCTGAAATCGTTTAAAGCCCTTTGAACAATTTGCACTTTGCACTGAAACTGTATTTTGGACCTTGAACCGTTTGGTTCCCATTGAAGTCCATTATATGGGTAAAAATGCTGGAATGTTTTCATCAAAAACCTTAATTTCTTTTCGACTGAAGAAAGAATAACATGGACATCTTGGATGACATGGGGGTGAGTAAATTATCAGCAAAACTACTCCTTTAAATACAGTTACACGAGTCGAGTAACTCGAAAAAGAATGGTGACACAAAATAAAACGTTGTGCTTTTCTAAGCGGTTAAAGTGGATAATAAGCGCTTGGGAGCGGGAGATGGGGGGAGAGGACTTTGCACAAGTATATTACAACAAATTTGGGTCAAATATGGACAAACCCAAATGTTGGGTTAAAAATGTAATAAAAAAAATACAGTTGAAAGTGAAAGTTGAAGTTGGGTTAAAATTTGAAATTACATTTTTAACCCAATATTTGAGTTTGTCCATATTTTACCCAAATTTAGGTTCAAACAACCCAGCATTGTTTAGAGTGTATAATAAACACAGCGGACAGTCATTGGTTTTCGAAAAGACCCAGTTTGACTCTCCTTTCAGTTCAGTGGGTAAACAATTCCAGGCTTTAGTGCCTTGTATAGAGAAAGCTGATTGTCCAAATGAAGTATTACATGAACATTTTGGGATCTGACAGTTCCCGTTCTGAACCCACAGCCCTGAGAGCAACTATGCACTCACTCAAGACCTGTAGTCACTCATCAACAATTCCTAGACGGCATGTACGCTATTTTGCTGAAAAGTGATGAAAACAATCATATTTCATCATTTGCACATGCAGTGAAGTTCAGCGCTGGGTGTGATGGACTGAGACATGCTTCTCTCGCCCCGCCTCACGCCCGGGTCGGCCCTGCCCGCAGGCTCAGAACCGGTCTGTCCAGGGAGTATGCTTATGAGAGAGTTTCCTGAGTCATGCGAACACTCAGTCTGTGAATGAGCCAAGGAAACCACACCCTCCAATGCAACCATGGCAAGCCGGTTTAGCTTTTATTCATTTCCAGGATATCAATTCTTGATATCAACAATTCAATTTTTGATATCAACAATTACATTTTTGACATCAACTATTACATTTTCACTAGTGAAATGTCACCATAGGCTGCCAAACCAATTGTTGATATCAAGAATTCAATTGTTACAAGTTGAAATGTCTATTCTTGATATCCACAATCGAATTGCTACTAACAGGACAATCATTTTAGATATCTGAAATAATATTGATATCAGAAATACATTTTCAGATATCAAAAAATGATATTTTTTACTGGTACCAATTGAATCGTTGATATCAAGAATAGACATTTCAACTAGTGACAATTTAATTATTGATATCAGGAATTCACATTTTTACTAGTAACAATGCAATTATTGATATCAAAAATGATATTTCTACTAGTAAAAAATCAATTCTTGATATCAACTATTTATTTTGAATGGCAGCCTATATGGTGACATTTCACTAGTGAAAATACAATTACAGATATCAGCAATTAAATTGTTGATATCAAGAATTCATATCCTGGAAATTAATAAAAGCTAAAACGGCTTGCCGTAATACACCCCGTAAACTCATCACTCTGATTCACGGGAATAAGACTCTGTCTTCTCTTCATGAAAAGGGCGGACTTATAAATTTCCCTCGAATTATTCTGAGTAAAGGACTTAATCACACCCTTTGATTCATGCGAAGTCTGCAAAAATCACTAAATTAGGCCTATTAGACAGTATGTCTCAGAAAAAAAGAAAGCATGAGCGAGATTCTATAGTTAGAAGGTTTTACAAGCCAGTCACGTTTGTACATTCACACACTGCATCTGTTTTACACACTGAATCAAAGGCCCGTTCACACCAAGTACGATTACTGATAACCATAAAGATAGGCTATAGTAAAAATCATTCTAAATATAAGAGAATAACAGTTCAAACCACAACTATAACGCTAGCGGCACATGAGAAATCGTTGAATCGGTTTCAGAGCGATTTTTTCCCACGGATTAACCAACAAACTAACGTTAAACCTCCCGTTCTTCTAAATTTCCCTCTTTTTCTTAGTGTGAAGAACATTTTAAACATTTTCCCACTTTTTGGGACTTTGGCTTATTCACTGTATCCCCCAGAGTTAGATAAGTCCATACATGCCTTTTTCATCTCCGTGCGTGCTGTAACTCTGTCTAACGCGCCCATCGCTAGCCTAGCTTAGCACAAAAACTGGATGTAAATGGCTACAGCTAGCATGCTAATCCCAAATAAGTGACAAAATATTCAAAATATATACCCAAACATTCTCCGATTTACGTGTTGTGATTTGTATAGTCACATAGTGTGCAAATAACAAGGTCATATGAGACAACGTATATTTTATACATATAAATATTGGGAACTATATTCTCAGAAGGCGAAGCACTGCTACTTGGGCGGAGTGATAACCGCAGCACCGAGACGCACCGTGGTTAGGAGCAGAAAGTTCGCTCAGAGTTGGAGTAAGTCCCAAAAAGTCGGAGTGTTCCTTCCTTTGTTTGAGAAGGTTCTTCATGGAACCATCAATGCCAATAAAGAACCTTTATTTTCAAGAGTTATTAAGTTATAAATGGTCAAACATCAATATCAGAATTTAAATATAACATGACAGATTATTATATAGTGAAAATTGATTAATTGCAGAGACTGAATCATTTAGAAATTTTAATTGTTAACAATTTAATTGTTGATATCTATAATTGTATTTTCATTAGTGAAATTTCACCATTTCAAAATAAATTGTTTTTTTTACTAGTAGAAATATCATTTTTGATATCAATAATTACATTGTTACTAGTAAAAATGTGAATTCCTGATATCAGTAATTAAATTGTCACTAGTTGAAATGTCTATTCTTGATATCAACAATTCAATTGGTACTAGTAAAAAATATCATTTTTGATATCTGAAAATGTATTTCTGATATCAATATTATTTCAGATATCTAAAATGACTTTCTTAATAACAATCACATTCATGATATCAGAAATTAATATCGTCACTAGTAAAAATGTAATTATTGATATCAAAAATGATCATTGTTACTAGTAGCAATTCAATTGATGATATCAAGAATAGAAATTTCAATTGAATTCTTGATATCAATAAATAAAGGTTTTTACTAGTAATAATTGTATTTCTGATATGTGAAATTGGAATTTCAACTAGTAAGAAATCAATTCAACTTGATATCAACAATTGGTTTTGAATGGCTGCCTATATGATGACATTTCACTAAATACAATTGTTGATATCAAGAATTCATATCCTGGAAATGAATAAAAGTTAAAACGGCTTGCCATACCATCATTCTATTTCAACATTTTAATGCAATAAGCAATTGTCTCAAATGAGTAAAAGTCCAGAGTAGTTTTATATTAAATCCAAACATTAAAAGAGCAAAACAGTTTTTGAAGGAGTTTGTCTATCAATGTTACCTCCACAAAAATAACTAGTACGGTGTATACATTCACAATTTATGAGATTGTTTTCTCACTAAAACAAGTGTGTTACATACAGTGGGTTACATAAACAAATATTATATATTATACACAGCAGGGACTGGTATAGAGTATGGTTCAAAAGCTGGGAATATCTTCAACATTATGTTTTTGAAAATCCTCTCTGATCAAACAACTATATTGCAAATTATTATTAATTTTCAGAATAAATATTTTTACATTTACATTTTTACTGTGACGAAAAATTATGACAGATCTCATCAGAAACACACACTGAAGCCCGGTTTCCACATGTGTGTGTGTGAATCACCAGCAACAAAGTTAAGGTGTGATATACGACTTACTAATGAAAAAATGTGCAGCCCATTTTTTAACTCTATACAGAATTTCACCAGCACACAATGCTATGAGGAAAGTCAATCATCTAAAACTGACACTAACACACACCCGCAATTGCAAAACTACCCACCATTTCAAGATTTTATCACATAATAACACATTTACTATACAGTATTCTCTAGGCTACTACTATAGAAAGTAGGTGATAGAACTATAGAAATGACATTGGCAACACTGAGGAACCATTACCTGTGATTGACAGCTTTAACAACTGCCACAATTACAAGAAGACAAGAACTATTTATAAGAGCAATGTATAATCAAGAGCTTTAGAGTCTGTTCTAATGATTAATATAGGAAAACCCCATCATTTTTGATAGCATGATCATCAAATCATGATGAAACATGTGAAGTGACATTAGACTAATAAGTTAGATCTGAGTTTGAGCTGTTGGGAAGTTTGTGAGAGAAAAAAAAGACGTATGGAAAATCATCCCATAGCATGAGAAAAAACCTCACCCAGTTAATATCTTAAGAATCTGCATGCAATTAAGTAATGAGTAATTAAGGTATGTATGGTCAGCATTGCTTTCTTTAAAAAGAACAATAAACTATAGACCACAGTAACCCAAAATTCACTATTGTCTACATTGAAAATACTGCATTTTGAAGATGTTTACTGTAGGCCTAAAATAAAGGCAAGTTAGGTCATGTGAACACAAACATTGTAGCTAAAGATAGGCCATTGATATTTTTTACAGATTTTTTATTATATTGTTATTTTTTAATAGCATTGATATTTTACAGATATGGTAACGTGTCAGGTGTAAATACGATTGATTCTGATGATATGATTAATAATAAGTAAAAAGACAAGGCAATTGTGAATTACCGGTTAAGTGAATTTAACTAAATGCCATTTAATAACTGCTTAACTTCATTGTGAAACTTTACAGTCGATTAAAAGTGAACTACAATGTTAAAAAAAGGAGAACATGACTGATGAAGTGTGTATGTCTGTGTCATTTCAGTGAGACCAAACCCTGAGGATCCATTGAAACAGGTCAAACCTCTCCGATCAGGTTTCACTGTTCCCTTTTGGGTGGAGCTCAGGAAAAGTTTCAGATAAAGAGTGACAGGAAAACCTCCAGAGAGCTTCTTCACACTCGGTTAGGAGACACACAACAGCACAGATACCGAAAATGTTTCGTTGTGGAATCGCGTATCCCAGATGCAGGTGGATCCTGCCTATCCTTATTTTTTTCGCGATTATATTCGACATTATCGCCATCGCGGCGCAGTCCGGATGGGTCGAGGACGAGAACGCAAAAACACACTACGCCAGCATGTGGACGCAATGCCGAGGCCGCAACGACCAGTTTGAATGCAAATCTCTCATGGAGTTTCGTAAGTATTGGGCTCGAGTCATTCTAATCAAGCTTTAGACATGTACGTGCACATAAAAGCGTTAACCAAAAAAAAAAAAGAAATGAAACAGGCGCGAAAGTTACTGTAACTTAATATTATTTATGTTTAGTTATCTGGCTTTTAATAATGTTCTCAAAATGTTAACTGTTAGCCCTAAAACATTATCTATATGTCGTTCGTGCAACGTTTTTTTCTTCTTAGAAGTTTTAGTTGGACGTTCCATCTGTCGTTTTTTTTAAATGTCACTAGTTTTAGAACGTTCCGAGAACAGTCAAAAGTAACGTTCCATAATGTTTGCGGAGTGATAAAATGGAATGTTCCCTTAAAGAGGCAGTTCACCCCAAAATGTAAAATCTGTCATCGTTTACTCACGCTCTAGTTGTGCTATATGTATGACTGACTTGTGACTGAACACAAAAGAAGATATTTTGAAAGAATGCGCGAGTAACAATAAATGATGACAGAATTTTAGTTTTTGGGCGAACTATCGCATAACTTAATGGGAAACCTTCGCTAAATAAACATTTATATGTATTAGCTGTGCTGGAACGTTCTTATAAGTTAAGTTGATCAGAAATAAAAGCCCATAATAGAATAATAACATAATTTTTATTCTCTTGGCAAATGGAAATAATTAATGTAACTTTCACAAAGTTTGCAAATGGAGCCAGTTGAACCAGTTAAATAAATCAGACGAGAAAGTTAACAGCGTAAACCTCTAGGCTAAACCTGCCACTCTTTTGTGTGTGTATTCCTTTACCTCAGCTGTTATTTATTTCACCAATAAAACATGTCTAAACTAAGGCCTGACAAAAAATATCTCCCTATTACTGTTTATTGACATTTTGATGTAGCAATATCATCCTCTTTATGAACAACAATGCGTTTAAATTATTCATAGATGGGGAATATTAAATGATGTGATGCACTAATCCACTTCATGTTTCTTTAAGCTCAAGTCAAGCAAGTGTCATGAAAAATATTATTATGTGATTGTGAACACAATGTTGATCATAATAAGCAGTTGTCTGAGTGATGAGTTATGGAGTCAGACCAAAAAAAATAAATAAAAATACAAGTTGCATCAATCATATTCTTTCTGAAACTCGACCACACCCGTCCTCATGGGGTGTGACTGTGTACGCTCAGACTTCTCGGAGCAAAACACATTCCTCTATTGATCGTGAAGAAGCAAACGCTGTCCCTACAAGTCCTGAAACTCATTCAGAGTGAAACTAGTTAAGCATTGCTGTATGTCTGTTAATGTGTAACCATCCACATGCATGTGTTTTCTTTAAACCGCCTCATGTCGATTAATCGAGTGAAAGTGATGAGGCACACAGGAGCTTCTCCTTTTGTGTAGTTGTTTAGATTAACTATGCCTCGTTTAATACATGATGCATAATTTGTTTTTATAGCCTAAATGTTAAAACCAGCCTTAGCCTGTGTCATTTCATTTTCACAGTTTTTGAATAGCGTGACTGTAATGAAACCAGTAATCGGCATGTCATAATTTTGCTACACTGACTGTTTATTTACATTTAAGTTATTTTAGAATATTTTCTACTTCCATTTATTAGTATTCTATGTATTCAAAGCTTTGGCAGTGTTGTGTTATTGACAGTCGTGTCTTGTTGTGGTTGTCCCTCCAGCGTGGGCTCAGGCGGTCGCTGCTCTGATGATCATAGGCCTCATCATCCTCATCGTCGCCTTCATCATCTCAGTCGTGGCTCTCTGCTGTGCCCTCAAAATCTCGCTGCTGCCTGTGATTGGAGGCATGCTAATTTTTGCTGGTAAGAGACTTTCTTTTCTTTTTGGTCTGTTGGAAATCAAGGAATAAGGGCTGAGGACACCTTCATATCAGCCAAAACTTGAGTTGTTTTTCCACGTCTCCAGTCCATGTGGGTTTTGAGTCAAACTCTTTCCCAGGAAATTACACAGTAGGATCATTTCCTTCACTTTGTCTGTGAAGAATTGAACGTTTTCTGGATAATTCGTGGATGTAGGGCTGGGCGGTGTGACGGTATGAAACTGAACGCAGCGCTGTTATTTTAGTGTCATTGAGATACTACTACAGATTTTAATAATATTTAGATTTTTATTTTAATATCTTTGGCATTTCTGTTTTTATTTTTAAAATTATATCTATGTAGTGTTTTTATATCCATCTTATTTTTAGTTATTTTAGTGTGTCGAGTTAAAAGAAAAGTTGCCTTTTGCATTTTAGTTTTTAGCTATTATAACCTGGACCACAGAAATATCTGTATCAATTTATTTCTACATTTCACTTTAGATATTATACTAACTATAAGTAACTTTGTATCTACATGTCAACTAGCGGCCATTAGAGTATTAGCTAACACTTTATATTGTAATTCTACTGACTATATGTAACTTTACAACAAAATGTCAACTTATTCTGACCCTTACAGTCTACTAATACTCTAATGAGAGTTAGCTGACATGTAGTCGCAAAGTTACTCACTGTTAGTACAGTGTTTAAGTGAACTATCAAAGCCAGTAAAACAGTACAGAGGAGAAATATATCATCCCTAATAAGTGAAGACAAGTTACTCCACATTAAAGGAGTAGTTCACTTTTAAAAAAACTGATAATTTACTCACCCCCATGTCATCCAAGATGTCCATGTCCTTCTTTCTTCAGTCGAAAAGAAATGAAGGTTTTTGATGAAAACATTCCAGGATTTTCTCCATATAATGGACTTCACTGGGAACCAAACGGTTCAAATGAGAGTTTCAGTGCAGCTTCAAAGCACTTTAAACGACACCAGACGATGATTAAGGATCTTATCTAGCCAAATGAGCAGTCATTTAAAAAATAAATAAGTTTTATCAACGAACGAAATGACTCGAAAAAAGATTTGTTCATTTTGCTGAACGAGTTCGAACAGGAGAGTCACGAATGCTCATCACAGAACAGAGCAAGGCGACCATTTGAGCTTATAAAACTTAAACTTTTTAATTTATTTTTTAAATGACAGCTCGTTTCGCTTGATAAGACCCTTATTTATCATCTGGAATTGTTTAAAGCCCTTTGAAGCTGCACTGAAACTCTCATTTGGACCTTGAACCGTTTGGACCCCATTGAAGTCCATTATATGGAGAAAAATCCTGGAATGTTTTCATCAAAAACCTTAATTTCTTTTCGACTGGAGAAAGAAGGACATGGACATCTTGGATGACATGGGGGTGAGTAAATTATCAGCAAAAGTTTTTTTTAAAAGTGAACTACTCTTTTAAGGGGTGGAGAGTTTAAAGACACACCATTGCTTTGTTCTGGATATGTAATTTTGGTCTTTCTCCCCTATACGACCGCTACGTAGCCTTTTGTTTTGCTGTTGCTATGGGATCGAGTCTCGGTGTGTTGCGATCACAAACCACGCTCTCGCCCTCCCCCGTCCCACACACTCGTTCCCTTGTTCACGGTGTTCAGGTGAAAGACAGCTCTCCGTCTCCTATTCCTCACCAGACTGAATCACAACCTTTTCTTATTCATGTTCTGTGATCTTACAATGAGCTGCTTATTGTTGACTTGGAAAAACGAAATAATTTTTTTATTTCAAACAGAGGATTATAATAGTTAAAAACCCTGCAACTTGAAATAAAACGAATGTCAACTGATAACTTAATATTTAATAACTTATTTTATTTCAGCCTAATTTTTAAGAAATCCATGTCGACGTACTAAAATAACTAATATAGAACCAAAACTAATCAAAATGACAAAAACATGCAACAAAAATGTTCAAAACTTTAAATTACAGTTGAAATGGAAATTTCAAAATTAAAGCTATTTTCAAAATATTGATAAAAACACTCAATGATACTAAAGGTTTACAGTAGTGCAGTGGTGTATACTCAGTCAACACTGTGTGCAGTGGCTGTTTGAGCAATAGTTCATTCCTCAGTGTGAGATTAGATTACAGCTTTGTGGCTCGAAGTGTCAGACACAGCCTTGTGTGAAAGTTTCCACACACACCCAAACAGGGCTTGGCTTCACGCGCATGTCCCTGCAACACTCGGTCACGCCCGTCCCTCCCAAAGATGACGGATTTATTGAGCTGCGCTTTAAGCTACTGATTAAACATGTTTATGGGCAGAAACTGCTGCTAAGTTTATATGAGGTGCAGTTTATCAAAAACCTGCTTCAACAACATTAGGAACTCAGGAACATTTAGCAGTTTTTTCCAGTTTTTCCTTTGTGTTTTTCATGTACAGACGACAATAGTGTCAAAACGATCCTCGTTCACACGGATCCGCGGAACAGACTAAAAGCGCTGCATTCTGCTGTCAGGCCAGTAGATGGCGATGTCTCTTTTTAAGAAAACGCTACGCATCGCACCTATAGACTGGGCACGTCATATCCATTAGGGCCGTCAAAATTGCTCAATGACGTTTTAATATGAACGTTTAAACATCTGGTTGCGCATTTCGTCAATGACGCGCATTTCGTACCTACTTGTATAGGTAGTTTATTTAAATGTGCTATATGTAATTTTTCTTCTAAAATGAATCCTTTTTTTATTGCATGTGTGTGAAGGGGTTGTAATCGCACATTACAATGATCCACTTGTGGGGTTTTGCTATTACCTCTGAAGGCCAGTATTCATATTTCTATGTGTAGTCTCAGGGTCGGATTTTATGCGAAATCCTGTATATCCAGTCTATGCGACGGCACTACAGCTGATGACATGAGTCTGATAACCTCCAGCACAACACACACTCCAACACAAACTGTCACACTGAAATTGTTCAGTCTTGTTCACTAACCGTTTTCGTTATCATATTATACATTCACCTGTGTTGACATTACTGATTATGACACCTGATACACCAGTAGTTAGTGAAATGCCTTATGCTAGATAACACCACAAATGTAACGTTATCATGATACGAGTAAGGAGCATTAGTTCAACGTCAAGCTGATAAAAGTAGCCTATTATAATTATTATTTACATGAGTTTCCAGCATGTTGTGTGATGCTTTCTCCGGTGTGTGTAAAGTCTCAGTGTGGCCGTGGACCGTGTTCGAGCACGAGCGCTCTTGTAAAAATTGGTTGCAATTTAAAACATCACCGATAGATGGCGCTAAAAAATACATGCAGGGTATACTTATGGTATACAATACGTATGCATGGTGTCTGAGGCTGAGACAAGTTAATGATTTGAATAGGACGTCTATTGTTTTATCATCTGAAGCCTAAAGGGCCTTGCACACTGAGTACGAGTACACTTTTTTGCATGTTAAAAAATAAATACGACCTCACGTTATTTCAATCACGCTCGCACACTGCCTCCGAAACTCTCGTCCGTCATTAAAAAAAATCGGATCGGGTTTCGATTTTCTGCATTTTTTTCGCATCCGTAGTGAGCAGTTCAAATGGAGTTTTGACAATTCCACCGAATCACGAATACGAAAATACGCAAACGAAAATGTCGGACTTGGTGTGCAAGGGCCTTAAAAGTGTGCTTTCAAATAAACGCCTCCTGTAAAATAATTAGGAATGCACGATATATCGGCCGCCATATCGGTATCGGTCGATATATGTTCATTGTTAATGTTATCATTATCGGCCCGATAAGAAAATTTGGCTGATAAATGATGGATTATTCCCTTCAGCTGAGACGCTTCAGATACACACTGTTCTACATGATGGTCTTGGATTTCGTAAATATGATTGGAATTATTTTTTTTTAAAAAAAGGGAAAATACAGTCAATTGTAACATCAACAAACAAATCTGTCATATCGGCTACATATCGGCCAGCAGCCATATCACCCTGTAACCCAAGACTGGTTGCCCATTTAAGCTAAGCAGGGCTGAGCCTGGTTAGTACCTGGATGGGAGACCTTCTGAGAAAGCCAGGTTGCTGCTGGTAGAGGTGTTAGTGTGGCCAGCAGGGGGTGCTCACCCTGTGGTCCGTGTGGGTCCTAACGGGGACACTATGCTGTCAAAAAGAGCACCGTCCTTCGGATGAGACGTTAAACCGAGGTCCTGACTCTCTGTGGTCATAAAAAATCCCAGGATGTCTTTCGTAAGAGCAAGGGTGTAACCCCGGCATCCTGGCCAAATTTGCCCAGTAGCCTCTGTCTATCATGGCCTCCTAATCATCCCCATATACACCAATTGGCTTCATCACTGTCTCCTCTCCACCAGTAAGCTGGTGTGTGGTGAGCGTTCTGGCGCAATATGGCTGCCGTCGCATCATCCAGGTGGATGCTGCACATTGGTGGTGGTTGAGGAGATCCCCCCTTCTATGTGAAGCGCTTTGAGTGTCCAGAAAAGCGCTATATAAATGTAACGAATTATTATTTATTATTATATAATTATAATGAAAACATTATAATTGTGTGTTTGAAATGGTGAGACTTTTGTTTTTGTAATCAGGCTCTCAAAAATTATATAAAAATTTGGAATTGGATTTATCGGCTGATTTATCGGTTATCGGCTTTCAAACATTAAGAATTATCTGTTATCGGCTTTCCAAACATTAAGAATTATCGGTTATCGGCTTTCCGACATTACGAATTTTCAGTTATCGGCTTTCAAACATTAAGAATTATCGGTTATTGGCTTTCAGACATGAAGAATTATCGGTTATTGGCTTTCAAACATTAAGAATTATCGGTTATCAGCTTTCAGACATTAAGAATTATCGGTTATCGGCTTTCAAAAATTAAGAATTTTCGGTTATCGGCTTTCAAACATTAAGAATTATCGGTTATCGGCTTTCAGACATTAAGAATTATCGGTTATTGGCTTTCAGACATTAAGAATTATCGGTTATTGGCTTTCAGACATTAAGAATTTTCAGTTATCGGCTTTCAAACATTAAGAACTTTCGGTTATCGGCTTTCAAACATTAAGAGTTATCGGTTATCGGCTTTCAGACATTACGAATTATCGGTTATCGGCTTTCAAACATTACGAATTATCAGTTATCGGCTTTCAAACATTAAGAATTTTCGGTTATCGGCTTTCAGACATTAAGAATTATCGGTTATCGGCTTTCAAACATTAAGAATTATCGGTTATCGGCTTTCAGACATTAAGAATTATCGGTTATCGGCTTTTTAGACATTAAGAATTATCGGTTATTGGCTTTCAGACATTAAGAATTTTCGGTTATCGGCTTTCAAACATTAAGAATTTTCGGTTATCGGCTTTCAGACATTAAGAATTATCTGTTATTGGCTCTCAGACATTAAGAATTATCGGTTATCGGCTTTCAAACATTAAGAATTTTCGGTTATCGGCATTCAAACATTAAGAATTATCGGTTATTGGCTTTCAGACATTAAGAATTTTCGGTTATCGGCTTTCAGACATTAAGAATTATCGGTTATCGGCTTTCAGACATTAAGAATTATCGGTTATCGGCTTTCAAACATTAAGAATTATCGGTTATCGGCTTTCAAACATTAAGAATTATTGGTTATCGGCTTTCAAACATTAAGAATTATCGGTTATTGGTATCGGACAAGATTTTCATGTTGGTGCATCCCTAAGAATAATGACATTTAAACATTTTTATATGTTATGACTTAAGTGTCCAAATACTTTTAGGGTCACTGTAACTGACCAATACTTTCTCTCATTACAGTAATCATTCAGATAATCGCTCTGATCATCTACCCTGTCAAGTTCAACGAGCTGATCTATGAAGGTTATTATACCTACACGTGGGCGTACGGTTTCGGCTGGGGCGCAACAATCCTGATGCTGGGGTGCGGGATCGTCTTCTGCTGCCTTCCTCGCTACGAAGATGAGCTTTCCGGGATTGGGAAGACTAAATACATCTACAGCTCTGCCTGAACGCCCCAAACCTCTCATAAAGAACAATGTTAAGTCACCCAAGACTAAAGCTCAATGCTCACAGATCTCCGAAAGCATTTTCATTTCCCCAAAGCAACCGTAGGACAGTTCTGACTTCGATAAGGGCTGTGATCGGCAGCCAAACTGTGGCCGTTTCTCCAACCTTACAGGTTCATGCAACTACCTTTTACTTTCATTTGTTATTCATTCCAAAACCGATTGGGCTTTGATGCTTTGTTTTTAATGTCACTCATTGGTCCTGGAAACTCCAGCTTTTCTCGATACATTTTAGAAAGTTACATTGCCCATCACATATTATATGTAAACATAATTATTATAGACGTAATCATGTTAATACAGCTTAGAGAATAATTGAAAGTGGCTTTCTTGTGACTTTTACACTGTAACATGAATACTGTAATGTAAAGTGTGACTGAGTTTTGATATTTGTATATTTCTAGAACATCTCAACATTAAGTAAACATTTTTACGCTGTCACTGTACTTGTATATCAATGTGTCATTCCTTCCCTAAAGTGCTCTTACTCTCAGCTAAGAATGTGTGTTTTGTGTTGTGTGTGGAGAGTTTCACAGATATTTTTACAGCAGAATAGGTGAGCAAGTGGGTGAAAACGCAGAACTGCATGCATTCGGCAGTAAACAGATGCTTTTCTTCGCTTTGCTTTGAATTTCTGGAGATCTTGAAGCATACATGCCTTGTTCACTTCAGTTGAGTCAGCGTGGTGTGTGTGCAGAAAATGCAATCCAAAAACAACGAATAAATAAAAAAATATATACTTTGCTGGTAAACTTTGCAACTTTGTAGTTTTTTTTAAGTGTTTTACTAGATTCAGATTTTTCACTTTGTCATTTGTGGTTCTTTGTGATATGAATTGTAAACTAATCTTCAATAAAAGGGAGTATTACTATTAAGACTGACAGTTTTTTTTAATTATTTTTTTTTTTAAAGAAGTTAAAGTTATTTCCGCCTGCTAAGGAAAGTGTTTATGCACACATCTGTAGGGTTTGGGTAAATTTTAAATGGGTTTTAAAGTATGATTTCACTTTTCTAACTTTAGTTAGTGTGTAATGTTGCTGTTTGAGCATAAACAACATTATCAAAGTTACAACGCTCAAAGTTCAAAGGAAGATATTTGCTTTTAAAGGAAAGGACTACAACAAATGACTGGTAGGAACTACACGAGCTTCCTCCCGGGTTAGTGACGTCACCAACCCTAACATTTACATTAACCCGCAACATGGACACGCTGTCCATGTTGAGAAGAGGAAGAGTAGTTGTAGAGGAGTACATTTGTGAGTCAGCTCAAAGTTTATCAAAGAAGTTTAGCTCAAAGAACATGCTAATTGAAGATAGTTAACTCCACATCAGCAACATAAATTAATCAACTAACCATTCAGAGACGTCCTGTTGCATTCTATGTGTTGTCACTTCTTCTTTGACTGACTCCATTTTAACATTAAAGGGAGAACAGTTTCTGTCATTTTAGTGTGTCTGCGCGAGGAAATTGCAGCTACTAAGGCTACTAACACACACTGACACCCCGCCCTCTGCAGCAGCTCATTTGCATTTAAAGGGCCAGGAACCCTTTGCATTTGAAGGCCTGTGTTTGCTGGGAAGGGCACCATTTCCATAATCCTCCATGATTAATAAACACCCACCAGTTTGAAAACACCCACAAATTTAGAAACGCCCACTTTTGTTCCGCAGAGACCCTAGCAACTATTTTCAGCTTTAAAAAGCAGCTCTGACATGAAAAAAATAAAATAAATAATATATATATATATATATATATATATATATATGTATGTATAAGAGTGGCATGTTTTGTGGAATATTTGACATAGGGTTATCAATCCTGCCTCCTGCCACTGGGATACTATGAGCAGACAAATCTGGTTATCGTTTAAATGAAGTAAAAATATGTATATTAATCCCTGTTAGGAGCAATAACTTTAATTTCCGATCAGTTTGAAATGTTCTTTGCGGTAAACCAAAAGCACTGTAAATACAAGTAAAAAGTGACAGGCACACAACAGGAGGTGTGTTTTCTGCTAAAGATGAGTCAGAAAGAGACACACCTGTTCTGTCTAAACCGTCACACAACATCTGGTACATGGAGTATTAACATAAACTGGTTATCTGAGGACACAACAACAAAAGAAAGGGAACAAACTGACACCATGTCTCCTGTTCACATTCCTCTCTGCAAGTTCACACACAGAGATAACATTCTGGCTGCCAACTTTCAGTTCAGCTTACTGTCCGTATTGACACAAACTTCATGATTCGATTCACAAGCTTGCGATTTGATTTGGATGTCAGTTCAATATCTAATCTTTTGGATGTACATGGATACATGATAAAGTCTACTAAAGATTATACCCAATTAAAATGAAGATAATCACATTTTACAATTCAGAAGTTTAGTGAATTAAAACGTGCCTTTTTAAAGCTCTTTTTTAGTCTTACTCTTATTTTAAATAATTTCTTAAGACATCTTGAGACCCCTTTTGAAGTTGGTTGAGAACTTCTCTGAAAAGCCCTGCTAATGAACAACAACACTCACCTAAAGGATTATTAAGAACACCTGTACAATTTCTCATCAATGCAATTATCTAATCAACCAATCACATGGCAGTTGCTTCAATGCATTTAGGCGTGTGATCCTGGTCAAGACAATCTCCTGAACTCCAAACTGAATGTCAGAATGGGAAAGAAAGGGGATTTAAGCAATTTTGAGCGTGGCATGGTTGTTGGTGTCTGAGTATTTCACAATCTGCTCAGTTACTGGGATTTTCACACACAACCATTTCTAGGGTTTACAAAGAATGGTGTGAGAAGGGAAAAACATCCAGTGTGCGGCAGTCCTGTGGGCGAAAATGCCTTGTTGATGCGAGAGGTCAGAGGAGAATGGGCCGACTGATTCAAGCTGATAGAAGAGCAACTTTGACTGAAATAACCACTCGTTACAAGCGAGGTATGCAGCAAAGCATTTGTGAAGCCACAACACACACAACCTTGAGGCGGATGGGCTACAACAGCAGAAGACCCCACCGGGTACCACTCATCTCCACCACAAATAGGAAAAAGCAAGAGCTCACCAAAATTAGACAGTTGAAGACTGGAAAAATGTTGCCTGGTCTGATGAGTCTGGATTTCTGTTGAGACGTTCAGATGGTAGAGTCAGAGTTTGGCGTAAACAGAATGAGAACATGGATCCATCATGCCTTGTTCCCACTGTGCAGGCTGGTGGTGGTGGTGTAATGGTGTGGGGGATGTTTTCTTGGCACACTTTAGGCCCCTTAGTGCCAATTGGGCATCGTTTAAATGCCACGGCCTACCTGAGCATTGTTTCTGACCATGTCCATCCCTTTATGGCCACCATGTCCCCGTCCTCTGATGGCTACTTCCAGCAGGATAATGCACCATGTCACAAAGCTCGAATCATTTCAAATTGGTTTCTTGAACATGTCAATGAGTTGACTGTACTAAAATGGCCGCCACAGTCACCAGATCTCAACCCAATAGAGCATCTTTGGGATGTGGTGGAACGGGAGCTTCGTGCCCTGGATGTGCATCCCACAAATCTCCATCAACTGCAAGATGCTATCCTATCAATATGGGCCAACATTTCTAAAGAATGCTTTCAGCACCTTGTTGAATCAATGCCATGTAGAATTAAGGCAGTTCTGAAGGTGAAAGGGAGTCAAACACAGTATTGTTATCAGGTCAATCATACATATATTGTATAGGGTTACATAGGGGAAGATGCCCCCCTTAAGAACAATGTGTATTTACTTTTAAATAGTTTTTAAATATAGGTTTATTGTGTTGAGAATGATGATCGATTAGCCAATGGGTTATTATATTATCCAAAGGGGCGATCTTATCTAGTTACTGAATATAATTTAATGTGCTTTAAGCTAGTGAAAAAAGGTTTTACAAAGATATAGGCTAGCAGGTGTTAATGACGATATATTAATGGAGAGAGTGGAGGTGTGGGTGTTATAACAAAATAAACTCATTTTATTAGAGATAATAACCACTTGTCACCCAGAATAATGGTGTCACAGATTTATTTTTTATTTCTTAAGAAAGAGATGCAAATATACAAACACCTTCAGGCGAACATTAAAGCTATATATATATACGTAGTCAGGTTCATTCATTGTGTGGCTGTTTTTGGCTGAATGAAAATTATTCTAACTTTATAAAACAGTCACTCGACGTCACCTGCTGGAGTGATGAGGTCACTTGCAGAAAGAGTAGACCACGTGACTTGAAAATCCACACACGTGAAGAAAAGGAGTCGCAACTCAAAAGAAAGAAAAAAGGGCGGGAAATGCACAACGAATTGTCATCATTTCCAATGTCAATAGTTCCAACACATTCAGTCTCTCTCCGTTTAATACACGACCTCCTGGCATCATGTAAAAATGTATGAACATCCATACATGAGACTTATTCCTATGTCTAAGATTTAAAGACAACATTATGGAAGTTTCTTTAGAGATTATTTAGAGCTAGACACTTCAGACTTAAAACGTGTACTGAGCTGTATTATGCACACAACTAGTCTCGTACTACCACTAGATGGCAGCATATGATATACAAACATCTGTATAGATCTTTCTTTGTGTCTGGATTATTGCTGTGGATGACGTCACCTCTTTATACCTGTTGACTAGCAAACATCACTCCTCTTTTATTTTCCCTTTACTGACGCAAACTGCTGTGAGCTCAGCCAGTCATACAGTACTTCATCATCACCTTTAAATAGTTGGTGGTGAAATTAAACTGGCATATCTTTATTTTTTAAACTTAGTTAATTAAGATGATATGAATTTTAATGGAAAAGGAAATAAACGACTTTTGTGAACACAGATTAGATGAGTGTGTGGTCGGCCGGTCACACTCTATCGTCACACAACTTCACACTCGTAGAGCCACATCCTGTCTCTCCACAGCTACAACACATGTCAGCATTTGTAAACGATTTTAGATAAATTAAGTGCAGAGATATGTCATTCAAAACTGATTTCATTTCATGTTAACCCCATTTTTGTATGCATTAACAAATATCAGTTTTATTGCTTTAAAATTCTTGTAATGTTTCTCAGAGCGGCTGAAGTGTCTTGAGATCTCCTAGATACATAATTTTTCAACCATTCCAGAAAAATAGGTTTGTGTTTTAAGTTGCGCTAGTGAGCCACATTCCACAATATGTACCAATTCCATGCAATGAAAGAATATTTAGAATTTTGTCATCCAGGTAATTCCATCCACGCCAAAGCATTTTCACCATTGTTGCCATTTGAACGTTGTCTAGCTGTTTAGCGTGATGGGTGAGTGGGTTTTTGAATCATGAGTCAAAACAGTAACTTACTGAAAAGTTACAAAAGAAAAGAAAAAGAAAAAAAAAACACCTGAGAAGTGATTTCCCCTTGAATGTTTCCTATAGCATCTTTGAGTCCACGCCCCCACTTCAGCTCGACGCTTTAACTGACTCGACTCCAACTCAAGCCTGTAGTGTTTGGGGGCAACCCCTGTGGGGCTGCTAAAATCACTACTCAACGATGATGAAATTTACGGGATCTATCCTATAGATTGCTGGTAGAGAATGAGTCAGCGCATGAACCGAGGGCACCAAAGGCCTCACAACATGACGTGATCATGCAAATCACACCTATTCCCAGTATCAGGCTCTTGGCCGCAAAACACGTGAGAAACTTTCGCTTTTGTTCGCTGAATTTGACATCACACTAGGCCTACTAGACCAAAGCTTTTTACTCAAAAGAGACCAATGAATTATATACGTAGGTCATGACAGGGTGACCAACAGTCGTTTTCACGTCCCGTCCTGGCTGTATTTTATAAAGTGATGAAAATGTTCCTGTTTTCTAAAAACTGC